CGGAACATTTGAATTTTTATTTGATATATTACCTCGAAGACATCAATTCGGTATTATGTTTCTTTTAGCTTATTTCGTGTCTATTTTATTTCCCAGAACATCATAATTGTTCGATTATACAAAGCATCACAGTCACCGCATCGTGTTCGATTTGGGCTACGTGCGACATATACAATGCGGCTAAAATAAATTGGTTGCATTCACGAAATTTGAAATGGCGCTGCTGTGGGACAGGCGCGTTATGACATATCCATGAAAAAAAACCCGCATTATTTGGATACATGAAATTCGAACGCGACGAATATGGCGCGTAAAAAAAAACGGTTCTAGTACGGGTGCACTATATATAACGTGGGTATATAGCTTACCTGTCAATTGAAACGGCACCTAGCGTCATGACACTGGCACTGCTGAAAAAAGTATAACAGAATCCACTGATGGAGCACCATATTGTGCCGAACACCCATTGACCATTCAGACACGACGTTATCAGTACAAAAGGTAGCACCAAAAGACCTCTGAGTAAATCGGCTACAGCCAAAGATGTTATACTCAGTCCCGTGACTGTGCCCACGCTTCGCGTGCGGTGTAGAACATAACACACCTGTGAAGTGAGAGAAAGAAAGTGAGAAATGACAACATTATTGTTGGTTTCCGAGTCTCACATTTCACGTATTTCTTACTTTCTGATTTTGCGATAATGAAGTCGGGATTATTTTGTTTCCCTTTGCATCAATATCTTCAAACAGAACAAACACAAAACTGCTTCTACATCTGAATATTTAAATCATGCTAATTCTCATGTACTTTTATCTTCACAGAATTTCATATCCTTGTGAGGAGTTAGATACGCAAGTTATCGATCATGAAATAGTAAAAAAAAACGCGTTTTACGATGACAGTTTTAACTGTCGTTTTCATGTAATAGACAATTATAACGTGTCTCATCACTTTTAACCCAGCTATATAACAACAACAAGTCATAACAGTGTTTGAGTAGAACATTTAATATTTTAATGTGTGTGGTGCATTTTGAAAAAAAAAACGAGATATATTTCGTTGAATTAGTTGAACTGTCAAAGAAACATCCGTAGTCTGAGGAAGGATGGCGGTCTGTAGTCTGAATGAATGAATGAATGAATGAATGACGCACCATTGAACCATCTTTTTCAGACAATGGTGATTTGTTTTTATTTTTTCAGTCTGACCTTAACAGATTTGACACCATTAAACGTAATGGCTGACAAGGGGGATCCATTGACATTCTGGAATCTGATTGTCGGAACCCCGTAGACGACAGATACGCATCTTTCCAGCAGTTGCATCTAGTAACCTTAACAGTAAACGTAAACGTTATCAAACTCCACACTGATACACTGATATCGTCTAGGGTGTTTGGCAATATTTCGTCGAAGGCAAATTGTCTTTACTATATCTTTGGTAGTTCAATTGAATCGTCCACAGCGCCCCGAAGGTGGTTATGTATCATCGTCCAAAAATCAAAATCAACCATATTTTCTTAAAACCTCACTGAAGAATATGTGACACAGCCGCGACTGAAAAGTCCGCCCTCACTTTTTTTGTATACGTTCAATAGTACATATGAGAAACATATAAGGCTTTCTAATATATTGTAGTATCGAGTTGACGATACTATCTGGGCTAGTACGTAGTCAGCACACAAAGTATTTATTATTAAACACATTCTTTATAGTCACCAATGAACAATCTACTATACGGTCTATGTTATTATGTTCAATACATTCTGTAAAATATGTACCTCCTTTCGTTAAACCTAAGATTAATTTTTGACCATATGTCTTTTTATTCAGTCTGACATTCCCGTAGGTAATATTCGACACTGAAAGGCATTATATGCACATTGTACTCATTCTCACAAAAAATCGTTGGTGTTTAATTACTCCGTCACACCGTCCGTCTCATTTAGGATTCAGATTAATCCAAAAGAAGAACTGACAAATCCGTATAGTATGTTTTTTTTAGACAATTCAGTTCGGCTGCGTGCTATCGAATGTGTGTATTTATGATTCGTTTCACAATCTATCTCATTCAGTTTAATTGTTAGCATGATGATTATTATCGACCAATCAAACCTCCCACGCCAAGACTATTTGTTATTTATACGTATTGACCCACCAGAAATTATACTACACTGGACATGCGATTCAGAGTGAAATACTGACGTAATTGCATAATTATTAACTGGGAAAACACGAATTAATTAGCTGTCACGTGTAAACTTTGGGTTTGTGTTAGGCGGTGACTAGCAGTGACCGTGAATTTTATTTACCTGTTAACTAACTAACTAACTAACTAACTAACTAACTAACTAACTAACTAACTAACTAAATAAATAAATAAATAAATAAATAAATAAATAAATAAATAAATAATAAATAAATAAATTAAAACATTTTACAGTGTCAATACAGTGTGAGAATATTGATGAATATTTATGATACTTACTGCGATGTTTCCTAGTACCGTCATCACCATTACAAAGGACAGAAATATAGCCTGAATGATAAGGTATGATTTTGACGGAGACGCAGACAGCGGTAGTCCATCATTGAAATTATCCGTAAGGTTCATTTTAGCTACATGCTCCGCGCTTACAGAGAGCTCGTTTCGTGACGCAGTCTCTGTTTAAATGAGTTGATTCTCGGTGATTCTGAATGAGAACAGTAAGTCACGTGCATCGTTTGTCGTCCAATCACGTACGTCTACATATAATTAACCAACGTCTCTGCTGCGCATTACCGAGCATCGAGAATATATGAAATGGAACGCGACTCAGTGACTATCTGTAAGGATCCATTGCACTCGTTTAACGAGAAACGTATCCTATAACATTGTCATAATGTCATATTACATTAGTACCGATCTAATGAAATATTAAATTCAAGGGAACATTGAAATACATATATATTGTTTCCTCACAACAAAAACAACAACAAACAACAACAACATCGTGGACTCATCGGTCAACAATCAGGCTATAATTGTTTTGGAATCGGTTTATTTGGTGAAAGAACATGAAATTCGTGATGTTTAGCCATTATGCTCGGTGTCAAAGTTTACTTAATATATTATCAATATGAATTCTAATATGATTATCAATTTTCCAAGTAAATAGTATGTCTATATTATACAAATGATAGTGTATTTCGTTTCCATGTATGCTCAGTGTAGCAAGAATGGGCGTAAAGTTAGGCTCGGCTTCCTATGCCAGCCTCAAATATCGATTCAAATCCCACTTTCATATCATATTCAAATCCAGATTCCATTTTTTGAGGTTTGGATCACACCCTGAAATTCATATTAATAATCAGATACAAGCCTTTACTTATATTCCACCAAATATACCAATGTCAAATTCAGATCTTAACCTCACATCCAGATTCCGGATTTATAATCATATCCCAAAATCTGTTTCAGAATCCAGCCACAGAAATTCTGGTGCTTTCACTGTCGAAAAAAAATAGGAAAAATAGAATATTAATTTTAATTAAACATTTTTCATACTATCTAAAATACAGGTCCATGAGAACGTTCACATTGTGGAATCGTCTGATAATTTACATAAGAAACATAAAAAAACATATATAGTAAAATTTTTATCTTTTCTTGGAAATCAGTTTATTTGGTGACGCACGGTTTTTCTTTTCAGTTCGGTTTCATTGTCATGTAATATAAAATGAAGTTTAATATACCTACAAATTTTCCAATGAAATGCTAGACTTCTATTATAATCACTTCGACTCATGATACGGCATCGCATGACATTTTGGCTAGAACGAGCTTGAAGTTAGCTTCTGCTTCAGTTTTAACGTCAGATTCAAATTCAAATCCGTCAGATTCACCTTGGTATTCGGGTATTCCGATTCAGTTCCCAGCATCAGATTTAGGTTCCCGCCTGTGATTTAGATTCAGATCCCAGCATGAGATACACGTTCGGATTCAGATCCCAGCCCAATGTTTAGATCCTAATTTTAGATTTAGACACACATTCGATTCCCAGCCTCAATTTCAGGCCCAGCCTCAGATTCAGATCCCAACATCAGAGATAAATATTTAAACCACAAATTCAGATGCACCCACTGTAAAACTCAACAACAAATTGTCGTATGTCGTATGCTACAACACTTTTCAAAATCAACATTTTCAAAACACGTAAATTGATGTAGTCATGTACATATCCAGAAGTGTGACGTCAACTAGCTTTGAATATATGTGTGTATCTAGCCTGCTCCTTCACAATTATTGCCTTTCTAGTGTTTGCAGAGAATTAAGGACACACAGTTTCACATGACTACCAAATGTAGAGTAATATTAAGATATTACCAATCATTTACTAACTCCAGAATTTCAATATAACCACAAATATAAATTACAAGAGTTGGTAGGGGTAAGTTACCGTCTTCTACGTACGTTGTAAGTTGTCTTCTAACATGGCCACATAAGGACTTATCGATATTTTCAAAATGTTACTGTTTTTCTTGTTTTTCCATACAATTTAATTTATGGATATCTAATCTGTTATTGCGATTAGTAGAGCGATTGCATGGTTTCCATGACAACTTTTATTAGAGAAAAGGCGTGAAAAGGTAATATGAGGGTACAGAAAACAAAACGAGTTAGAGTACATTTTGCAATGGTTTTGGCAACAGGTATAGTTGATCTGGTCAGGGCCTCAGAGGCTCAGATAGAGAGCGCTACATTCCGCATATAAATAATAATCGGGGTAATGATCGGAAGAAAAATAAATAAACCAAATTAACTTCATATATAATGTTAAATATAATTTAATATCATTGCCTGTACATTGATACTTTGATGTACACGTGAATGTGAGGCATTGTGACATACATTCTTGTTAGACTTGGGTAAAGCGAACATACGTTGATAAAACCAGCAAATGCTATTTTATGATAAAATATGTATAACTCTCCGAAATTTAGGTCAGTGTAAATATTAGTGGTGGTGAGCAAGTAAGACAGGAAATAAACTATATCTTGTTACCGTGTACTGGCAGTTTTAAGAGAAGATATCGTGCGTTCGACTACACAGGAAATAATGTGTTGATAGCTCAAGCGGTTTACTTTGATACTCATTCCAGGGAGGGGAAGTGTTGCGTAATAATGTGCACATTGATGGGACGATCCTTCCCTGTCAGGTCCCATAACAAATGATGTATGAGCCAAAGCCAGATAATTAATCAAGGTTCCACAGCATTACATTAACTGGGAGCCAGCGAGGGCAAGTGAAAACAAGAGAACACACTTTAGAATACACTACTACAGCTGCGACGGGGATGTCGGATGTATAGGTAGTTCCTCTTTTTTCATCTTGTCACAAGGAAAAACATGATATATACTAAATATGTACTTTATGCAGATGAGTGAATTGTTATCTTATTATGACTGAAGCTGTACAGAAGGTTGCAGTGTCCCGAAATACCATAATATTATTTGAGAACACTCTATTTACTAGAGGAAATTCGGCACAAGCTTATATTCAGTAGCGCAATGACGGTCATGAAAATCACACATTACAATGTTGAGAAATGTACCCTGCTCATTTTGGTCAGTACATTCATATTACTTTAAGACTACATTCAAAGATTGACAATTGCAGCATTTGAACACTACGGGCACGCGCTGATTTAGGAGTAGGCGCACCAGGCGCGCGTCTACCCTATCAGCCCGCAAAAAAATGACAAATCATTTGACAAACCCAGCCCACCGGAGGTGCGCGGACGTGGTCACCTCAATAAGAGCGCGCTCCTTACCTAATTTCTGGATCCACCGGTGACGGTGGCAACATTAGAAATTTGAGAAATTGGACTATTAAGGGCGTGCTCACGATGTTATGAAAAGCTACCGATTTGAGAATACAAATTCGTAATTTAGTCACAAAATGCACTCCCTCCGCCCTGAAATGGTACCTCATGGCCTAATTCGAAAAATTGGGAAATACCAGAACATTACAGGGACATCACAATTCATGTACACACAATTTTTAGTACTGTACAAAAAGTGGTCAATATTTTGGCGGGCATGGCAACCAGATGCGTAATGGCTACTAATATTATCCCTTGTCAGCAGTTCAGTTTTCCTACAGTGAATTTTTGAAATAGCAGTAAACAGGTGTGTTTAACTGTGCCTATTATATAGTACTTTTACAGGATCGGGTCAGTAAAACTTGGAGTTGACCAGTAGGTGATTACTCATATATTAAAGCGCGGTGGTCGTAGCGCAGCGCGTGTTAGAATTTCATGTAAACAAGCAATGTATTTTAATCGCGTTGTGTACGTAGCTATGGGTCCCATATCAAACAGGACGCGGCGAGACGGCCACTGTGGTACCATTTATAGATACATGTATTATTGGGAAGGAACTAAATAAAACTGTTTTGCTTAATGGTGAATCTGCATATCATAATCTTATATCTGCATCATTACTTGCAACGTATCAACATTATCTGCAAGTATTGTTTCAACGTAATCTTTATTCATATCAACATTACCTGTAACAGTGATGTCAACGTAATCTTTATTCCTACCAACATTACCTACAAGTATATTTCAACGTAATCTGTATTCGTATCAACATTACCTACAAGTAGTATTTCAACGTAACCTGTATTCGTATCAACATTACCTGCGAGTATGTTTCAACGTAATCTTTAGTCCTATCAACCATAATTGTATAATTGATGTCAACGTAGTCTGTATTCCTATCAACATTAAATGTATAAGTGATGTAAACGTAATCAGTATTCCTATCAACATTACCTACAAGTATTATTTCAACGTAATATGTATTCATATCAACATTACCTACAAGTATTATTTCAACGTAATCTGTATTCGTATCAACATTACCTACAAGTATTATTTCAACGTAATCTGTATTCCTATCAACATTACCTACAAGTATTATTTCAACGTAATCTGTATTCCTATCAACATTACCTACAAGTATTATTTCAACGTAATCTGTATTCGTATCAACATTACCTACAAGTATTATTTCAACGTAATCTGTATTCGCATAAACATTACCTAAAAGTAGTGTTCCACACTCAATCTGTATTCGTATAAAGTTACGTTTATTGTGTTTACTAGATGATTCAATTGGAATACCTATTCACATCTATGATCACACAGAGGCAGTGCGTACATTTCATTGTAGGAACTATTAATGATAGTACAACAACGCATTGTAATGAAACGCTGTTTTCAGTCAATATTTTCTTTTTCGTTACGAGTAGCAGGTGGCCTAATCACTCATGTAGCCCAACACCCTGCAGTGCATTTAGCATTTTGGTGCATGCGAGCTGTGGATCACGTTAGCTTTAAATTGCCTAATTATTCCACTGTGCTGCTATTCTAAAACCGGCAGATTTCCGTTTGCGTCATTGATGTATATCGCGAGGGTCAAGAGTTCATCGAATGATGACGTCCAGTCGTGTACTTGAAATGGTAAGCGTTATGCGAATTCTGTTCTTGAAAAAACACACGAATTCAATGGGCTATATATGTATATACGGAAACCGACTATATACTACAGGTTTATCAAAGTTACTGT